AAGGTCTGCCAAAAACTTGTGTCATGGGTGTGCAAACATTTGCTCTTTCTTCTCAAGGGTACTGACCAGTGCTTTGCTAAAATGCTAAGCATTGGAAATTTCTGTGTTTTTCCCCACACAGAAGTTTTTCCTTTAGGGGTAGTGGAAAACATCTCTTCACGTACTTAATTTTTTTGAGCTGATTCATAAGCATAGGATTTTATGTTATTTTTCTCTAATTAGTTGATGATCAGTGTATGCATCCAATCTGTTTCTACTTTTCTTATTCCATGATTTTCAGAGTAATAAGCTGGTCTAGCTAGTAATAGCCCTTTCTTCAGCCTCTGCCCTTGAACAAGGGGAACTTCCTTGTTCCTTACTCAGAAAGGTTCCTCAGTTGTTCTGGTCCCAAGCTCTGTCACTAAGCAAATAGCCCTCTAGAAAGAGCCGTAGCCAAGTGTATTTTTTTCTTAGGTAAGTTAATTTTTACAATATACTGTTGAACCTTGTACCTTTCCTCATTTTTTATTTATCAGATGCATAAGTTAATGATCTGCTATCACTGTAAACTCCAAAGTTTTTGTGAGCTTAAAATGAGTAAGTGTTGCACATGTTTACAGGTTTAATTCATTCATGAAAATCGATGGACTACTCCTGGCTAAATCAAAAGACTTCTCATTGACCGTGGATTAAGTGTGTGCCAGTAGACAGTTGCTGTCCATCAACTGATCTGCAATAACCTGTTCCTTTGCAGTCACGTCCTTTTTGTTTGAGCTTCTATTTTTCAGTAAGGTTTTTTCATATTCAAGCCAAGATTTTCAAATACCAAAAGAATCCATCTGATATTTTACAGCAGCACCCAGAACATTCAGTGGGTGTTTTCATGGGTAGTGCTAAGGTGATAGTGCTGAAGAAACAGATGGGTTTGTATTGGTCAATGTACAAATGTAAGACAACCTTAGTGCATAATTTCATGAAGCTTTAGTAATTTACTGTTGTGTATCTGTTTTGTGTATACATATGCCTGAGGGAAAAACAAGGTTTTAAATGTCTTTAAAAATGCATCATAGGTGGTATTAGCTATATGATGTGTGTTACCAGGTGTTAGTGCTCTTTAGAACAACAGAAGCTTCATTTCTGTATTTTCCTTCATCAAAGGAGCAGAAACACTTCTATCATAAGCATGGCTTGGTTTATTTTTTTCTCTGTATTTTGCTAAAAAGAAAGAAGAAAAATAGAATGCTACCTGACCATTTTTAAACACTCTATGTATGTTCAATTTGAACGTGCAAACATATTTCATTATTGCTATGGTGTGATTATTGTTAGTAGTATGCTACTCTTCACTGAGAACAAACAAAAAAAAAACCTGCAAAGATGACTCTGCGATGTTAAAATTATTTTAATACAGTCATTCTTCACGTATGTAAATGCAGTACAAAAGCTAACTAAAAAGGAAGAGAATGCTTCTGGCAGGGTCACTTTATTCAGCTGCTTCTGAAATAGCTTAGTTTGCCAAAACCCGCTCAAGTGTTTTTTCAATAAGTAATCTTTTGTTGTGATGGAGAATAAGTCATCACCTCTACCTCTTTTTATCATTAATATTAAAGGAAGGGAGTAGATTTGTTCACTGATGAGTATGTTGCCGCTGCAATTTTAAAGGCTTAATTCATAGCTGTTCCCTAGCAGTTTAAAAGACAAAACAACCCACCTTGTTGTCACAGGGGTTGGCATGTCAAATACAGTCTGGCTGTTGAATCACTTCACTTCCGTTACTCCAGTGCACCTCTAATGTAATTCTACTTCCATTCTTTACAGAAGAAAAAACTTTATCTTAGATCTAATTTTCTGGAAAGAAAATTTATTTCTTTTTGTATCGGCTATAAATGACATTGAACACTAGGGAAAATGTGTGTAAATAAGGAAAAATGAATGTATGCCAGCTGCTCCCTTTCATTTCTGATAAGATTTTTGATTTTATGTGTTTTTTTTCTTTATGATGCATGAATGTTAATGTATTGACCGGGGACTCTTTTCTCTCTAAGACATTTGAGCTTTCTGCAAATATTTAAAACGTTTCAAACTCATGCATTGGTCTCTGGATGTTTGCTGGGCTCTCATGGAAGTTAGGAGATGAGGATAGACTCCTCTGTGTTGTAATGGAATCCAGATGACAGTAAGAACTGTTCTTTGCTACTCCACATCTCACCTGTAGCTGAAAGGCCTTCTCTGCTCTCTGGATGGAAATTGGAGCATGTCCTGTTTTAATGCCATGCTTCAGTGTATGATATAGACAATGACAGAAGATAGTATAGCAAAGATATTCTTCCTGAATTTTAGGATTCCTTTTCCTTTATCTTCCTTCAAGAGAAGATAGTAAAGCCAACCATGATTTGAGAGGAATCCTACACCCTCTGAGATAATGAAACTCATGTCTCACATCAAAAGCAGTTTAGGAGTGTGTTCCTTTTCTCTTATGTTAATCAACATCTTTATTAAACTAAGGCTAGAGCATGAGTTTGAGTAATATCACACAGTTATCTCTGCTCTTGAGTTACTGTCAAGCCCCTGGCTTGATTTTGGCCAATGCTCCCTGAGCCATAGCCCAGAGCATGGATAAGGCAGGACAAGGGACTATGCACAGAAGTCATACAGATAGGATTACCAGGACTGAGTGGGAAGGTTTATCTGGATGGATACAAGTGTCCCACTCTCTTCCTGGCATGTTTTATTTATGACTGTACACGTTGCTGTACAGTCCATTCCACAGCATCGAAAATTAATGAGGAGGAGTTTACTGAAAAAGAGGTTATTTGAGTAGAAACACTTATTTTTACTTATTACTCTTGTCCCTTGAGAAGCCTTTTTGACAACAGCAGAGCTGCTTAAAACTGGTAATCTCCATGTTTTTCATTTAGACATTAGTCCATGTTCTCCATTAGCTTCAACAACCAGCAGTCCCTCTGCATCACCACTGGAAATTACTGTACCGGTAGCTGTTAAGCATATCACCCTTTCTCGTGGTGTTAAGAAAAGTACTGCTTGCAGCAATAATGGGGCTGAAAAACCTTAGTCACTAGATCAATGGTTGGAAAGTCATCTCATATAGATTTAAAACTGAACAGAAAAAACCCTCACTTCTGTACTAGATAGTTACAGGAGCTACTAGTTACAGGAGTAACTTTACTATCTTTATAATAAAAATTTTAGTGTGACCAGTACAAACTTCTTCATTCAGATGGATCCCACAAGAGTGATATATGTGGTATATGTCAGGTACATGGACATTTATTTTGTACGGGCATACAATTGTTATTAGGTTTCTAAATTACTTACAGCACTGTTAGCAGAAAACATAGGCATTGTAATAAGAGCTGTGCCCAGAGTAGAACTGTTTTAAAAATCAAGGAGTATGTTTCAAAATAAAGCTAAATGGAGAAGGTCATGCAAGTTTTCCTTTGGAGAAGTGTGGAGTTTTCTAACCAGTACAGACCCGTTGCCAAGCTGCCATTTGGCACTCATTTTTTTGCTGTGTCGTGTATCTATGTCTGCTCTACCTTTAGAGCAAGTGCCAGGCTCTGACTTTGCAATTCAAATGTGATCAAGTTCTTTGTCTTGGGGCTTGCACAAAGATCAGGAAAAATTGATGCATATTCTGCCAAATCTTGAAGTTGGAGTTTTAGCACCATATGGGTTGAGCTGTTCATAGCATGAAAGAACTGGGCACAAGGCTTGCAAAGTCATCTCATCTCCTGGTTTTTCTCCTTATAACCTGCACCTCAGTATTTTCTGTTATGAGTTTGATCACATGGCTGGGTATGGCTCAGAAAAAATTACCTCTCTTGATTAATCAGGCATTGAGTGCCTGGGGGCAGGGAGCAGGGTGATGTTTGGTGCTAACCAGTGGGAGGACACCCCATCTCTGGGGGAGACTCATCCTTTTGTGCTTCACAGGGCTCCCTCCTCACCCAGCACGGTGGCAGCACAGCCAGAGCTGGCCTGTGGTATGCACAGGTTTTGCCTCTCAGGGAAATGAAAAGATGAAATGTAATATTCAAGCAGAACAGGAAAGAAAGTGGATTTCCTCCAGAAATTAAAAAAAAAAACAAAAAACCCAACAACAACTAAATTTTGACACCACATCGTCTTTAGCATTCCAAGCAGCACTAAAACCTTTCAGGACATAAAACATCAGAAAACCAACATCCCTACATAGACATTTTTTGGGCAGGATTGAAGGATTTTTCCCAGTTCATGGAAACTTTAAAACCCCAACACAAAACCCTCTACATCCTTCGTGCAGTAGGCTTAGTTCTGTTCCTTCATGTGAAGCTTCTAAATTTGATACTGTTTCACTAGGTCTCTTGCTGTAGCCTTTGAACCTTAAATTAAATTGTGATTCATTAATACATTTACGAAAGGGAAAAAAGAGAGAATGCAATGGAATGTTCTGGGGAAAGGCTAGAAGAAGGACCTAAAGCACAAATACATAACAAAACAACTGTTATTTCTGGCATAGAGGTAGATTTCTCACATAGAAGTAAATTTTAGCTCTGGTGAGTTTGTTGACAATAGAGGAGTATTTACAGCGGATTTCTAGATGCTGAAGTGAGGCATTTTGGTAGCGACAGATAATTTTGGAAGATGTGATACTCCCACCATAGGTCATCAGGCAAATTCCCTGGTACTGCTAATTAAGTAATGCATATAATTGCCTTTAATGTTTTTACCAGAAAGTTGTTTTAATTTTTAAAATTAACACCCATTTGTAACTAAGCAGGACTGCCCAGTCTTCATTTACAAGTAAAGGTTTTCAAACCTTATTTATAGGTTTTGGTGGTTGAGACATCATTGCTGACTTGGAGATGTGTTTGGTTTTGTGTGAGTAACAGCAGTTTTCTGGGTATTCTTAGTCTGAGATAACTAAAGAGGATTAGTTTACTTTAATGCCAAAGATTCTTTAAAAATAAAGAACAGTTACCTGAATATTAATTTTTGCTTTGGTGCTTTTCTCCCTATAGGTTTTATGGCAGGCATACAGAGGAACCCCCAAATGTCACAGTATGGACCTCAACAAACTGGACCTTCCATGTCACCACACCCCTCACCTGGAGGTCAAGTGCATCCTGGAATTGGTAGCTTTCAGCAGAGTAATTCAAGTAGTACTTATGGGCCTCAAATGAGCCAGTATGGACCACAAGGTAAAATGCTTGCTGGTAACAGATGCAATAATTTATATATATTTTTTACAATATATATATCGTGTATGGGAGTAGGTATGTTGAAAACAACAAAAACACAACACTCTCTGTAAAAATAAAAAAAATCCGCAACAAATAAATCTGTATCCAAAGGTGCAGCTGCACCTTGTGGAAGAAGCTGTTTCTGTTACTAGCACCTTTCTCTGTATAAAAATAGTGACCTTAAATTAGGCAAGGAAGTGATGAATCTGTGGCATTGCCAGGTCTATTGTTTAGGAGCCCAAGCATGTCATCTCTGTGATGAGGCTTCATTTGAGCAAGCATGGAATAAGGGTCACAACACCGATCCCAAAATAGGACTTCTTTTCTTGGATGAAATCCCAAGGCCAACCTGAAATTGCGTGGTGACTTTGAGGGTAAAGTCTTCTAACAAGCATAATAATACAGTGGCTACTGTGAAAATAGAATATTGAGCTCTAATGCATATGGTTTGTGAATCTTAACTAACCCTTCAGACTGAGAGAGACAGTTCCTTTTATTTTGCTTGTTTGACAGAATTGGTGGGGGAGTAAAACAAAAATAGAATACACAATTTCTGCCCCTTGACAACCTTGAACTTGTCTATTGTTTTGCCTTTAATGGATAGCCTTTATAAAGTATGCATCTGTTTAGGGTTTAATGAAGTTGAAGTCAAGCCACGGAATATATAAGGGTCAGTATTTTCTTTAGAGGTACATAAAGAAGCTTTTCTATTTCAGCACTTCCTACTGTTCTGAGGCTTTCTTACTTAAAAGCCTCAGAAGGGACTTGAGCCAGCGATGGGAATTACTGTAGGGCTCAGTGACTCTCCCGTGCTAGCAAGGATGGTTATTTTAGTCTTCTGAGTTTCTGAGAACTAGTTCTGATGTTTATTTGCAAGGAGCCTTGCTGCCCTGTGCAATGTTCCTTTCTGTTTCATCTCTGAGTAGCGTTTGATTTAGTGTTCTGAGCACAGGGCTACAAGCCAAGATTTCCCAGTTTCTAATTTTGGCTCTGCCTTTTACATCATCTTTCAGCTTAGGCAAGTAGATTCATTTCTCTGCTTTGCTTTCCTTAACTATAAAATGGGGCTAGTAATGCCTTATAGCCATGTGTGAAGATTAATTACCTAACTCCAGTTGACTGGTGCTCTCCTTTTATTTGGAAAGCATTTTGTGGCCATAAAATGCTGTCCAAGTGCTTATTTTTATCTGCACAGTGAGCAACTAGCTTAACTGGTAAAAAATCCAGTGGATTTATGATGTGCTATCCTCACTTCCAGCTGTACTGCTGCTGCTGAGATTCCGAACCATGGGAATAGTGGGTGTCAAGTGCAGTAAAACATTAGCCATCCACACTGATTGAATGGAAAGGTTTTTGTACTAAATCAATGCATTTAAGTAACACGCCAAATACTACTTTCTCTTTTTGCTTGAGTTCAGCAGTTCTTTTCCTCCCTCTGTAGATGAAAGTGCCTATGTAATGATTTTATGGGTCATGGTCAGGAAGAAACTGCTATTAAAAAGTGAACTTAAGGGACAGGAAGAAAATGAGCATCATTGGCATTAACAGGCCATTTCAGAAAGGTTTGGTGAATTGTGTGATGGATGAAAACCATGTTCTTCTGCCAGTGCTTGGAAAGTACCAGCGATTCTGTGCACTGGTCATCATAAAACTAGGGCCTTGCAGACTGTTAGCTCTATAGGTAACAATTAGTCCAGAAGAATACATTTTCACCAGGTTGATCTAAACATTAATAAAATACAGGGATGAAGATAGTGATATTTCCATGTTATGTGTTTACTTGGATTTAAGGTTTTAATAGCATTTTTTCATTTTAAATGAAAGTGATCCATAATTGCAACTCTTAACATACCTATTACAAAGCATAATCATATGCCAGCAATGATGAATATATAATAATGTTATCCCATTTCCTTTTTTCTGCCAAAATAGGAAATACAATAAAAATTAGCTGGGTTATAACCAAGTTCTTAAATTATTAAACTGAAGTAATTCCCATGGATCTGGTTTGTTTTCCATGTTTTGTTCACATAGGCCTTCTTCCACAATATTGTTAAGCTTAGGCTGGGTTTAACAGGACTACTTGTATTTTCATATATGCATCAAAGCATTCTGGACACTAAGCTTTTGATCCAACTTTGAATACTGGATTTCACTATGTGCTGTTCTGAAAACAATTGCTCAAGGCTAGTGTCCTCTGTGCAGTGGAATTGCTCACCATAGTAAAGACTACATCATTAAGTTTGGACTGGAAGTATTAGCCTCCAGTTCATGAGAGCAGAATGATCCATTTCATGCCTATGGTTGATTTATTTGATTTTCATGTGTTTACATGACACTTAGAACTATAATAAGACCAGAATATATTTTCCCAGGAAGCCGTTCTGTACTGGGTTCTAGTCCAATTCTGTGAAACCATTTCCTACAAAAATAATAAATGGCTTTGGCTCCACGCTCCTGTGTTTCTGGGATACAACACAGGAGCATGCAGTACAGAAGATTAATTTTAAATTTTTATTAAATCCCAGCATTTTGTGGTCCCCGAAAATTAAAAAACAAAAAAAAACAACAGAGCAAGGATGGAAGTTGTTACTGAAAGAATCTCTCTGGTTTGTATTTGGACAACATCTAGCTCGGGGGCTAATGAAGCTCTGGTCTATGACCCAAGCAGCAGACTGCTGCCACAGCAAAATGTCCCTTAAATGCACTCTGGAGAGCAGTCAGATGCTGTAGTCAGTTGGATCTTTTAGGACTGGGGCAGAGAAAAGCTTCCTGTGAATCAGTAAAATGTCTCAGAAATGCATCCTGTCTTCCTAACTTTTCCTACTCAATTCAGCAGTAAAACTGTTCTGTTGAGGTATAACAAAGAGAGGAATTGCTACTGAATTTGTTTGAACCACAACCCCAGAGCTTCACTGTAAGTTAAATCCCCTCTTGCTTGTGATAAAGTAGTATGAATTGGGTATTTGTGCTTTTAATGTTGGACTCATTTCACAAAAGCACTTTGCTGTATAGTTCCCACTGATTTTAATCCTAGATTTTAATTAAAATGGTAGTATCCTAAGGATGAGATGCCCTGCATATCTTGAAAGTCTGGACCTCTGAATCCAGACCCATGTATGCAAGAATCTGTGGAGCTAAGACTTCAATATCAGCTGTATCTTACTGAAGTCCCCTAGGTAAAACAGTTCAGAGGAATTCAGAATAACACATTTAAATTGTCAGTAGAAGAATGGCTTGATGGTTAAGTGCACATATAAAAAATTCTAGAACTATTCTAAGATGCTGTTTTTAATATGGTCAATCTAATCTATGTCTCTAAAGCAGAGAGCAAAGCTAACAGGTAGTTCTCAAATCTCCCTCTTTTCAGTTTGCCTAGAAATGGCAAGATCTCAGAGCACTTTGTTCAGCAAACCTGAACAAAGTGGACCAGAGTTTCAGCAGTAAGTATGAACATCTGTCTTTGGCAGGTTGTTAGTCAGCTTTTTTATACTTTATCTTCATTACACTTTTTTTTTCCCTCCTGATTCCTGTTACAGCATTGTTTTTTCTCATGCATTAGAGGTGTCGTCTCTCTGGGTACAATTCTACTCTGCCAAGGGGGAGTTGGAATCAAAAATCCCTCAGATATGGAGGGGAGGAGTTGTTCAGTAGTGCTGTGCAGCCGCTGTTGCCAGGCTTGTACCCACTTGAAAAGTGTGGGCTCTTGAACTTGGCTGCCTGACACGTCCAGCTGATGTGGGCTGGCCTAGCATCTGCTGCATTCATTGTGTTTAATGCTGCATCCATCTGTTTTCTGTCAAAGCCACTGCCAACAAATTACTAATCTATTAGAGAAACATGGAAATAAGATTGCACTCCTCATTCCTGGCAATTCCTCTTGTATTTTGTTTGGCTTTTATTTTACCTCTTTTTTTTCTTTTTTTTTTTTTCTTTTTCTTTTTTTGTTTTTTTTTGTGGTCTAGGAAAGGTATAAGAATAGCTAGTACTTGAGATAATGAGGAAATGCTTAGGGAAAAAAGACATGGAAAAAACCATTGAAACTTGTTTTCCTTACTAAAAAGATACGACTTCCCTGTGCATCTTGTATCCCTGAAGATGAATGATTAGGAGCTATTTTAACTGAGACACATATTTTTATGGAGAAGATTCCACTGTTCTTTCTGTGTTGTGTGTATGCTGAAAAAGCCAAAGCATAAAAGATTACATTTTTTTGTCCCATTCAAAATAGCATCAGAACAGCAGTAGCATTCTAGCATTGGTGTTTGCTCCTCCACACATGCTGCTGAATGAACTTCATAGACCCTAAATGACAAAACAAATTGGCTTTATGTAAATTGGACTGACAGTAGCTCCCAGTGATCATGGATATCAGATCTGCTAGTCTAGGGAGAGAATTTGCTTCACTTTGGGAAGTAGTGTTACTAATGGCATGTACATAAGATATGCAAACTGCTGTGCATAATCTTTGAGTGCACATATACACCATTCTGCTGTATTGCATTTCTTTTGCACAAAGCAGCTGGAAACCCAGAGCAGTATCCAAATTGTGCACTGTTGCCTGTAACACATAGAAGAGCAGTGTGAAACTAGTCAACCCTTCAGTCTGTAGTCACTTATGCTGGATCAGACTGCTTGAGCAGGTCTCAGCAACCAAAACTCTGGCTGGGGGCGATGGCTCACTGAACAGAGAATAAGGCAGCTGCCAGCAGCCAGGCCTAAAGGAGGAGGAGAAGTGACAGGGCAGTCTTAAGCCAGCATAAAGCTGAATCTGGAGCCTTTCATCTCTGCTGAACCACATATTTGGGATCCTTCTGTGAGGACCCCCAGGCAGAAGCCTGGATTTTAAAGGAGAGGAGAATGGTTGCTTCATTTCCTTGGGAAGCGTAGGTCTCATACGTTCTCGCCGAGGAGATGTTGTAGTAGAGTGAGTCAGTTACAGGGTGGAGAGCAGAAAATTAGTGAAAGCACAGCAGCAGGAGTATATGAATTAATTATGTGTGCATTCAAATGATGGATGAATATGTTTATTTTAAATACGAACGGGAGTTGAATGCCTCCAACTTCTCTGCCTGGTAGCTGAGGCCTGAGGAGAAGCATGTCTGATCTGCACAATCAGAGGAAGAGTCCAAGGGCTTCTGCCTTTGAATAAGCGTGGGAATATCTGAGAGTAGTCAGGAAACTCTGCTTTGCGGCATCCCACAGGGAGGGAATGGGTCATATTTCCACTAATCTGGATGAGATGGAAATGGAGACAAGTCAAAACTGATGACTGAAGTAGTGCAATGTGATACATTTCCTAAAATAGTTTTCTCTCGTATCTTTAGCTCTCTTTTTTTTTTCCCTCTTTCTTGTGCTGCCTGGGTTTGTTTCTGTAACACTGCATGCTGTATACTCGATTTTTCTTGAGATTTTAATGTGACAGGAAAACCAGCACTCAAATGAGTTAAGCTGCTGCAAGCAGAGCACTTTACTCCAGTGACAACACAGACTGGGTTCAGCCAGGTTTTCATGCCGTCCTTCATAAGGCACCTGCTTATATGAGTATCTTTGTACTGTTGCTGTTTACTTGTGTAAAACTAGTTTTCTCAGAGGAGTTGCACTGTAAGTTACCACCCCGTATGCTGACATAGCCAAACTGAAATTATTAGGAAAGCAGGGTGGGGCAGGAGAGAGCAGGAATCTTTCTCGGACCCCAGCAGTCATGTCATCCTCACCAGTCCACACCAAATCATCTCTGTCTTAAATGGGCAAAATAGTTAGGAGCAAGAAGCCTGTTGCTGAAACTGCAGAAAGGAATGAGAACATGAAATTACAAAAATGAGATTTTCCCTTGAACTTATGTAATGGGCTTCTTGCATGCCACATACCTTTCTACTGCATCAGGCAGTGTGTACGTTGTGCTGTGCTGTTAACCCTCTGGAGGCTGTGCTTTTCTTTATTTCCTGTTGCCTCATAACATACATTAGACAGAAAATGTTAGAGGGTACATGAAAATCAGGTTCATAGGATCATTCAGGTTGGAAGGGTGCTCAAGAGCTGTTCTTGGCAGGCCTTGTATTCAAATCAGGGTCAGATAACGGATCAGACCAGGTTACTCTTGGCTTTATCCAACTGAGGTTTGAAAACCTCCATGCAGGGATCCTGCGTAACCTCCTTGGGTAGTTTGTTCCACGTTGTTCCTCATGTGGAAAAGCGTTGTCCTGACTTTGAGGCCAGCGTGGGTCACTTTAGTTCACATGTGTAAGTTCTGCAGCTGCTAACTTCATTTGCTCAAAAGTTCTAAAGTTTTTCTCTGTGCTTTTTTTATCCTTTTGTGCAGGAAACTACTCCAGACCACCGACATACAGCGGTGTGCCCAACACAAGTTACAGTGGCCCAGGACCCGGCATGGGTATAAATGCCAACAGTCAGATGCATGGACAGGGGCCAAGCCAGCCTTGTGGTACCATGCCCCTGGGACGGATGCCATCAGCTGGGATGCAGAGCAGACCATTTCCTGGAAACATGAGCAGTATGACCCCCAATTCTCCTGGCATGTCTCAGCAGGGAGGCCCCGGGATGGGCCCACCCATGCCAACTGTGAACCGTAAGGCACAGGAGGCGGCTGCTGCAGTGATGCAGGCTGCTGCAAACTCCGCTCAGAGCAGGTATGCATTCAGATGAAAGAAGTTTAAATAAGTAGGAATGTTTTCCTTGTCATTTCTGAAGGAACAGCACTATATAGGTGTGTGAGTGTGCATTTATACATGTTCTAGCTGTGCCCTTATCTCTGGGAGGAGATGGTGTGTCCGAAGAATACTTTTCTTAATCATCTCCTTTTCTTAAGGAGAAAGTATGCTGTTGACTGTTCGAATTTTCCTCTCAAAAAGTGGTTGTGACAATGGTGATGATGGCCACTTCTAGTTTGGTTCTTGGCATTAGAGCTTTAGGAAAACCCACAGGATTACAGTGAAATTCGACAAGCCATCTGCAACTTTAAACTTCTTTGAGTTTTTATACTTTTTTTATCTCTGGTAAAGAGTGGGCCAACATGTCCTCAGCATCTTACCCCTGCTAAAGAGGAAGGAAGCCTGTGAAGCTGCCCATCAACTCTTGCATCTACTGCCCGTATTTTGAGCAGCAGTGCTGATGGCAGTTCTCTTCTGCGGGATGTTCTCTCTCCTAAGCAGGCTTGCAAAGGGGGAAAGGAGGGGAGAGGCAGAGGGAGACATAAAAACAATCTCTAGAGACAATATCTGGAGTTGATACCTGCCACTTGTGCATCCGTAATCTGCAAACAGAACTGCAGATGCTGGAGCCATCATCTGTTTTCTTGTCTCCCCTTTGGACAGCATAGCTACATGTTGCCATTTGTATATGGATTTTGGTAAAAGGTACTTTGATGTCCATCTCATTCTTAAAAAGCCTGAATATTTGCAATTAATTTTTTTGTGAAATTTTTCAAATTATGTAACAACTTCATTTCCCTGGACTTAAATAACTCCTGGCATACTTATTAGCTTTTTATTTTGCAAGAAAGTCCATAATGTTTGAGAATTACACAAATGTAGTTGCACTCTTCTGGTGAACGTGTTCATACGTGTGTATTGCTCACTGCACTTATGCATATGCGTACACACATGCACATCCATCCATCCATCCAGATATTTATCATTCAAGACCAGTGTTTGTGGACACTAGAATTGCTCATATTCCAAGATGCAGTGTTAAACAAGAAATAGGAAGCCAGTGTGTCCCTGTATTTGTTACTTTCTTGTTTTAAGAGCTTGAAAGGCAGGTGGCTGCTAATAATAAGCAGCAGCAAACTTTAAAAACAATAACAGTTAATTTAGTGTACTTCGTGTTCTTGCTCAGTAAAATACAAACAGGCTCCCTTAAAACAGACCATACTCCAGCAGATATCTGTGAACCAGCAGTCCCTTTCTCCTGTTGGTTGTTTTAACAGACCTGTCTAGTAGGATTTATGGAAGTCTGCTTCTGTCTGTCTGGTTTAGGCTATAAGCAGATAGGTCAGGCACGAAGGAATAAATAGGCCATCACTGCAGCTGCAGGAACAGGATTTCTCTATAATCATAGAATGAAAGGAAAAGCTCACGTTTGTTGGTCTTGACAACAAGAAAAGGCTTCGTGTTAAGTGGAAAGCTTTTGGTTGTGATTCAACTTACACATTGGGCATAGGGTGTGGTGTTTGATCAAAAACTGGGTTAAATGATTTCCACTTCTATCTCACATCTTCCTTCCAAGTCAGTTTTGTAGAACTGTTTTTTCTTTCTTGCTTTGACTGGACGAAACTGCACCATTTTGGAGCATTCCTATCACATACTGCCCATTCCAGTGATCCAGCACCTATGGAAGAGCTGAGCAGTCACTGAATCTCGATAACAAATACTGGCAAAAGGTTTATTTATAAACTGCAAATTGGGAGGAACTTGTCTCACTGCTCTCATGTCAGGGGTTGCAGGTGCACTGTTTTCCTCTTTGATCTCAAGTCAGCTGTAGGGGAGAAAGCATAATGGCTTTTGGCTATTCCTGCAAGTCCTCAAGACTCACTTATAGAAGGAATGTATTTGACAATGACTTGGATTTGTGATACAGACCAAATCCAGAGAGGCTGTTCTTTCATTCTGCTTCAGGCCACCACACATTAGGTCACCTGCTTATCCCAGCCAGTCTGGGGCTGGCAGACACCCCATGTTTTCTTCACAGCACCCGAACTGTGGCAACACTCAGGTTCCCTCAGTGTACCAGCCTGACCAGTATGGGTAGGTAGCAGTGTAACTGGACTTGCTGTTGGACCTTGGCATTTTTAAAAAATTTTTGTGAACATCCCATCTGGCTGCTGAAGCAATATAAAAATCATGTGAAATACAGAAATACTTGCATTGTAGAGGGGATTTTAGGTTTTTGTTTTGTTTTTACTAATGCCACTGTGACAGTACAGTGAAAATCTGCATGTCACTCATTCACACACCTGCATGGCTTTTGACACAGCTCCATTTCCTCGTGCCTAAAAGGGAAATTAAGAACCTCGTTCACTGAGAAGGAATGGGATGTTTCCTTCCCTCACCCAGGCATCATCCTTCTCTCTTCCTTGTTGGTGTTCTTGTCTGCAGTGGTGTGTGCAGCCACATTTTCTGGACTTGGGGGTATTGTCACTGCTGCCTAGGCAGAGAACTACAACCCCCAAAGTATGATTGTTTTCTGAGAGATGATGTACTGCAGGAGTGATTAAAGGGCTCCTTAATGGGATTTTCAAGGAAGTTTTAGTACACTGTGGTAGAGTGTGCATGTATTTGAAAAATCGGTCTCTGGAATAATTTTTAGGAGCACTAAGTATCCCTTGCAAAACATTTGCCTGAAGTGCAGCTACTGTTTTCTCACCAGAGTCCTCAACACTGATTTCTGTAACCATATCACAGAACTGGGAGAAAGTATGTTGGCTCCCAGCCTGTTGCTCCCTCACAAACAAGTCCATTTTCACCTGAGATTTAACCTTTATGGACTTCCCTGCCATTCTGTTATTTCAGTTGCTGCCTCTGTAGGAAATCTTTAATACCCAAATTATTACTGCTGTCACAGCAATTAACAAGTTTTGTTTACCAGTTTTCTGTAGCTGCTAGTTTGTTTTTTTTCCTTAATAACGTCATTCATATATGTGCACAGAAAAAACAGAAAGAAAAACAAAAAATTAGAACACAAGTCGACTGGTTATCCAGTTAACAAAAACAAAACTTAGTGAAATGAGAGACTACTCTCACCATGCTACTTTGCCTAACTGGGAAGACATCCACTCCTGTATACCAACATTCATGAACAGTCCCCAGCCTTTTTCTTCGAATGTGTTGAGTTTATAAGATTCAGCTGTGGAGCTCAAAAAGTGTTGGATTTTTATTACTATAAAACACCCTCCTCTGTGTAGAATTAAGAATAAAATTAAATGGTTGTGTCATAGTCATGGTTACACAGCAGTATTTTCTGTTCAAGTTGGTTGTGATCCACTTCAAGGTCAACTTGTTGACTCAGTAGCCAAGTATCAATAGGGGAGAGAAATTTATCTTCAGTTGTTAATCCACAGGATCTGTCTTTTTCCAGCTCAGGAGTCTCATTCAGACATAGAACACTGGTTTGCCTCTGCCTTGCCAAGCCACACTAAGCAGCAGAGTAAAATGAATTTAAATGCCATGCATCAGAAAAACATCTCTTCCACTGGGGCACAAAATCAATGTTCATTAACCAGGGCAGGATGATCAGGGTCTGAGTGTCAGCCAGTTAAACCTAGATATCATCCTCAGAGCAGACCACCACTCTTTTATTAGAAAAGATTGAAATCTTGTAAATGAAAGTGGTGGCTGTGGGAGATACTAGGTTTACACCATTTGAATTAGCCTTTGACCTCATCTTGAGGTGTGCTTTATTTTAAGCTTAGATTAATTTCTACAGCTACATAATACCTTCCTGTAACCTAAAATCTTACAATGTGCTAGTTTCTTGTGCATGCAGGCTAGGGTTTCCCATATAACTGCCTTGTCAGACTAGAGAAAAGAAAGATGTTTTTAAGATCTCTGCATTGAATCTCTTCATTGTTTCAGGCTACCCAGGGTGTTCAAGCTTGCTCTGAGTAAAAGTTCACAGCAGGCAATGTTAAATAAATCTCTAGTACCCTGTGTAGTAATTCACTTTATTTTCAGGAGGAGAGTGTGAAGGAACTACAGTGTTTTCTTTTTCATATTTGTCTTGTCTTGGTCTCAGCATAACCATTGACTGGTGAGGACTGTATGTTGAAGACCTAATATATCCGTGGAAGAAAAGACTCTTCATAACTTAGGTTGGCATTGACTGAAACCCCAAGGGCTGGTTCTGCTGCTGGAGACTAGAACCCAGAGGAGACCTTAAAGGAGCAGGTGGCTCCAAAAGATCTTTTATCACACTGTGATTCTTAGAACAGCACATATATTTATAGTGATAGATAAATGTTCCTGTGTGTACAAAAATGCATCACAATAAGCCTTCAGTAAAAACAAACAGTTTTTAGCAAATGAGATAGTTTTCCCTGTTGATGTGAAAGGCAGCAAATTTAGCCAATGTCTTCTAGTACCAGCCAGTGTTGAGCTCCTCAGTTTGTAAATGTCCAGCTTGAACCTTTGCAGGACTGTGTGTGCACTGTCTGTGAGCTTTTGCTTCCTACAGCAAGTTCTCAGTTTAAAATTGATTATCAGGTTGGCGCCTGAAGTCAACAGACATCTTTAGAGCTAGATGCTTGTCACCATCACTTTCAGCATGTCTCAGTAAGTGTCATTCTGAGCATGTCTGCTTAGCAGTTGAAAGTGTGACTGTAGTATATGGAAAGGTAAAAACATAGTTGTAAAATAGCTGGCTTGCATGCTGTTAGTAGTGTGGCCTTAGAAGAAGTAATTCAGTGCTAGCTGACTGTAAAATGTGCATTCAACTGGATGCTAAAATGAGCCTTTTGCTGGTGCAACTTCAGTTATCAATACCTGAACTAATTACAACAAAATGAGTTTTGATGTGCCTACATGAGGAGCAATCCTGTCTTTGAAGGCAGCCCCTTTGACCTCAATGTACCTTAATATGATTCTCAGGATTGCATGTTGCAATTTTGTAAATTAAAGCAATTTTTTTTTTATAG